GGATTTTGGGGCTGTTCAACCTGGAGAAGGCTCCAGAGAGTCTCTTCAGTGCCTAAAGAAACTCCAGGAGAGCTGGAGATGGATTTGGGCCAAGGGATGGAGGGACAGGACACAGGGAATGGCCTCAAACTGAAAAATTATAGGTTTAGATGGCATATTGGGAAGGAATTGTTCCCTGGGAGGGCGAGGATGCCCTGGAATAGAAATCCCAGAGCAGCTGTGGCTGCCCCTGGATCCCTGCAAGTGTCCCAGGCAATTGGGGGACACTGGGGCTTGGAGCAGCCTGGGACAGTGGAAGGTGTCAGGGTTGGAACTTGATGATTTTTAAGGTTCCCTTCCAACCCAAACTGTCCTGGAATTCCAGGATTTGGGTACTACAGGAACCCTACAATGGACAAAAAACCCCATCAGGGAGTCATTTTCAGCCTGTGACAGGAGTTGGGGATGTGCTGCTCCAGCTTCACCTCCATCCCCTTTTCCTCTGGAGTATCCCTGGCTGGGGCAGAGCTGGCACTTGGTGTGTCCATTGTGCACATTGCAGCCCTCCTGGACACCTCCCACCACTGCTGCCCACACCAAGGGGAACTTCAAGCACTGGAAATGCTCTGGAAGGTTGGATACTCACAACAAGTGCCTGAGGACAAGGAAAATCCACGATTTCCACTTTACTCAGGCAATCCCGGGCACCGTTTTTCACCAGCTCAATTTTTTCTTCATACTCAGCCTGCAGAAGGAAAACCAAGCATCAGCACCAACCTAAGCTCCCTCTTCATGAAAAATCACATTTTACAGTGAATCTCTCAGAGGAGTTGGTTTTTCTTTAAGAAGTTCCATGGATTTCTAAAGGTCACCAACAAAAAAAAACCCCAAACTTGTTAATGTGGGACCCAATTTTGAAACAAGTGTATAAAGGGCAGATTTTTGCCTTTAAAAAAGTGAATATATCCACTATAAATTACCACCCTGGACTCCAAACTGTCTCTTTCTTTTGTAATTAAAAAAGCTCCCCTCAGCATTTGGAGGACAAGCTACTGGTGGTTTTAAAAAACAAATGCAACCTTAATTTAGTATTTCATTTCCAAAACTCAACTGAGAAACTTGTAGAGAGAGAAATAAAATTTTACCTCGACTTTTTCCAGTTGTTTCTTGACATTTGAAAGAAATATTTCCCAGGAATCAATCTGGGACTTCAACACAGGAGCTGCTGAAGCTGAGCTGCTGGAATATTGAGGATTTGCAGTTAAACTCCCAACATTCCCATTATTTTTAAGATCAGTGATGTTGTCCCAACAGTTCCTCCCTCAACAATTAATCCCAGTTCAAGTCCTCAAGGGATTCCAGGTTAAAATCAGTTACACTGCAGCCCTTTTCCAGGGATACTGGGCAGGAATAACTGGAAATATTATTATTATTATTATTATTACTCAGATAATTTGATTTTCCCAGCTCAGAAAGACACAAGGATAAGGATGAGAGTCAATTTCCAGCTGAATTTTGTCTGGGGCAATATTTTTTACCCCCAGCTCTGTGCACTTTTATATTAATATTATAATATTTTATATAAATATCATATATTTAATATAACTATAGAACATAAAATCATGATAGAATATAAAATAAATATTATATGGTAAATAATTAAGAATTAGGAGTAGTGGAATTCCTGGTGGGAGCTCCCAGTACCTGCTCAGTGCCTTCAGCATCCTGAGATTTCCTTCTGCCTTGGCAATGGTGCCTTTGAGCTTCCAGACTTCAGTTTCCTTCCAGGTCTGAAGCACTGAGACCTGTGACAAAACAAAAAAAAACAAAATCCAAAAACAAACAAACAAACAAAACAAAAAAACATGTTAAAAAAAGAGAAAAAAAAAAGGGGTAAAACTTTAAACCAGATTTTAATAAGAATTTAAATAAGAGTTTGAGGATACAAAGTGCACACACAGTTCCTCCAGTGTGGAATTTTCAAGTGGAATTTCCATCCTTGGTACTTCCAATATTTAATCAACATCTTTGATATCATTACTCCACCTCCCATCAGCACAACCCCAACTCTAACAAAAGGTTTTGAAGGATTTTTTTTGGTTGTACCTCTGCTTTAACAGCTCTTTTCTCACACTCCTGGCTGTCATCTTGACTCTTTTTTATCAGCTCTTCCAATTTGCCTTTCTCACTAGCAAATTTATTACTGTGAAAGAAAAAGAAATGAAATATTTGAGGAACATTCACAGCAGAGCAGTATTTAAAATTAATGCCATTTTAGAGGTTTTTTTACAGCTACTCAGTGTCATGTAATCAAGAGAAATGGATGAGAGTATGCTTTTCTTTATTCTAAATATTAATATTCACTCATGGCAAGTAAAAGCAAACTAACTTAGAATAAAAAATATGGGTTAAAAGTGCTTCTTTTCCCCAAAGCCTTTACCTAGAGTGAAGCAGGAAAATATAAATATTGCTGAAAGGAACAGGAGTTTTTACCTGGTCTCCAGAAATGCATTTAAACACACATTATATTGCTTTTCCTTGTCATCAATGGCCTTCAAATACCTACAGGAATGAAACATTGATTTAGTTTGTTGTGGAAAAGGTTCCAATCTGGAAGATGCTCCTCTATAACCACCAGCACAATCTGTAGGTTTTAGATGCTGTTTAATCCCAGGGGAATTATGGAATTCCCAGCCCTGGAAGTGTCCAAGGCCAGGCTGGAACAAGCTGGGACAGTGGGAGGTGTCCCTGTCCATGGGCAGGGACTGGAACTAAATGGTCTTTAGGATCCATCCCAACCCAAATTATTCAGGGATTCTAATCTAAATGCATTTAAATTTATTGCTAATAAAGCAGTAATTAATATAAAAACAGGCTGATGATTTTTCAGGAGAGCTTTGGTCCCAACTACTAAAGATAAAACAAAGGCATTCAAAGACCAAAATCTGGGCTCTGTAAAGTGAGACATTAAAATACAGTAGGAATTGTTAAACCTGATTAGGAGAATTATTGCTGTATCAGTTTTATCACTTATCTAAAAGCTATTTTAGATGTTTACCTGTAATTTGCCAAAAAATTCAAAATATGAAAATGGCCATGTCTGTATTTCAGCCTGATACTGGGAGAAAAATGTCTGGCTGGTTTCACAGCCAAGGATTGAATTTCCCTACAGAATTCTGATGTCTTTAGACTGTCAGAATGAGGGGATGTAAATCTATTTACAGCTCTACCTCTCATTGGTGTCTGAGTGTTTTTTAGCTGTGCCCCTCAGTGCTTTTAAGTTCTCTCGATTTTCTTTCTTCTCCTGCTGCCATTTCTTCATTTGTGTTTCTGAGTCTTGGTGGAACCAATCCAGCTCGTTCTGGGACACCTGAAGGCAGAAAAGAAGAATTAGATCATTTCTGAAAATTGTACTTTATTCAAATAAAAACTGGAGCAGACTGAGGGTGTTTGTCCCCAGGGAATCCTGGAATGGTTTGGGTGGGAAGGACACCTCCCTCCATCCCAGGCTGCTCCAAGCCCTGTCCAGCCTGGCCTTGGACATTTCCAGGGATCCAGAGAATTCCACAACCTCTGATCCACGGGGAAAAGCTTTACCTCAGTCTCTTCAATACTTTTTTTCAGGAGTTCTTCCAAAGCACCGATTTCCTCCAAGCTCCTGCTTTGTAACTGCTCAAATTTCTCCTCTGCTTCTTTGAGTTGTTCTTTCAATACCTGGTGCTCCTTTCCCATACGGAGAATATCTCCCTGAAAATTAATCAGTTACAAAAACCAGTTTGATTTATAGCTGTTACCAGGTCAAAGGCCACATTCTCTCACTTTTATCTCCTGCCACAGACATAAACCTGCCATTAACACCACTCTGAACTGTCTCTATGCCCTAATGGAAAATCTAAATCCAGGTTTTGAGAGAGGAAATACATCTTAAACGTTCCACATCTGAATAGCTCAGAACGAAGCTATCAGTACAAATATCAAATAGCAGAGCAAAGCTCAAAAATCATCTCCTTGTGGGGCTGGGTGATGTTTCCAAGAACACCACAGAACACAAAACCAGCCAAACAACCCAAAATACAAAATATCTGTTAGAAACTCTTGTTTTCAGAGAACTTTGATTTCTTCACTATTCAGTTTTTAGGCATTCCTTTGACCTCCTTCATGAGAAATGTAAACCAGGATGCAGAGAACTTACTTGTTGGTTTTCAAATGGATGGAAAGGCAAAGTATTGGTTTCCCTATCAGCAACTTCCTGATTTACCTAGAACAAAAAAAAAGAATCATTAAGATTTGATTAAAAAGCTTCTCAGTTCATAGATGAGCTGCTCTGGTTTGGAGCTTTTGTACCTCACTGAGGGTTTTACAAATGCAACTCTAGTTGGATCCAATCCAGGCCTATAAATGATGTAAGCAAACAGTTGGAGCTGTTTCTGAAAGGGATTTTTTTTTTCTTTCCCTGATTTCATTGACCACGAGCGATTCCAGGGAGTTTTGTGAGTCTTTAAACAAAGCCATGCTCTAAATATCTGCAAAATTAAGATTTGCAGGAAGTGTCTCACTGTCATGTCAGAATGGTAGAGAGTGAGAAGGTCTCCCCCGAGCCTCCTCTTCTCCATAAATCCAAATCCTCAAATGTTGTGGAAGTGAAAATAAATCCCTGAACTCATCCCAAAAGGAAAAATAATGACACAGAAGGACTTTGCTTCATCTCTAAGTGAAACTGAAACTGTGCAGTAGTTCCCTCTGTGACACCCAGGGAAAAGAGCTGCAAAAACTTCAGGCACAACAAAATTCAGTGAGCAGCTCTGAAGAATTACAAATGAAAAACGAGTAATCACAGGAAGTGGCAGCAATTGAAAGTTCTCAGGAATCATGGAATGGTTGTGGTTGGAAGGGGCATTAAAGATCAGTCCCATGGGCAGGGACACCTCCCACTGTGCCAGGCTGCTCCAACCCCAGTGTCCAACCTGGCCTTGGGCACTGCCAGGGATCCAGGGGCAGCCACAGCTGCTCTGGGAATTCCATCCCAGCCCCTCCCCACCCTCCCAGAGATATCCCATGGGATATTCCTGCCCAATATCCCATCTAAACCTATAATTTTTCAGTTTGAAGCCATTCCCTGGGTGCTGTCCCTCCATTCCCTGGGTGCTGTCCCTCCATTCCCTGGGTGCTGTCCCTCCATCCCTTGGCAATTGTCTCTCTCCATGGTTCCTGCAGCTCCTTCAGGCCCTGCAAGGCCACCCTGGGCTCAGCCCAAAGCTTCTCCTCTCCAGGCTGAACAATCCCAGCTGTGCCAGCCTTTCCTCCCAGCAGAGCTGCTCCATCCCTCTGCTCCATCCTTAAAAATCTCTCCAGCATCGTTCCCTTCCCATTCCTTACCTGAACAGCCACCATCCTCGTGTGAGGATTGCTCTTCATCCCAGTTTTATTTCTCTTTCCTTTTCCTTTTTTAACACCACCCTCAGCTCCATCTGTAGCATTTGGCAGAGCAGAATCCTCCTTATCTCCGTTTTCCAGGCAGCCCCACTGCTCTTTGCACTCCTGCATTTCACCGGGCACAAACCCCTCAGGGCTGAATTTTCCACCTGGAATTGCTGATTCCCGATTATCCTGAGGAGCTGCAGGATCAGCATAAATAAATCCAGGCTGTGCCAGGGCAGCAGGAAGGGGCAATATTCCATATTGATAACCCCAGGAGCTCTGAGGTAAAAACAAAGCCGGGCCTGCAGGCTCGAAGGCCTTCAGTAAAACGCCAGGAATTGGTGTCTGGCTCTCCATGGAATCAATATTTTCATTTTCCAGAGGATTTCCAGCTGGGCAAGGGGCAGGGAAGGAGCAGGGTAAATACGGTGGGGTCTCATAATCTGATAAATCAGGAGGTGCTGATAAAAGATACGACTTTAGAGGCTTGAATTCCTGGGCGTAGGGATTCAAAGGCAGCTTGCTTTGCGAGGAATTCCCTTGGAATTCTTCATTTTCCTTTTTATTCCCAGCCTCATTTCTGCTTGGATTTCCTTGGAAAAGCACCGAGTGCTTCCTTAACCCAATGAGATTTTCCACCATAATGAAACGAAGGGATTTCAGCAGGAAGGGCTCCAGGCCGCCGGCGTCTTCCACCACCTTCCGAGTTTCCTCTGGGAAATTCTCATATTCCCCAACCAGTAATTTATTATTCATCTCCAGAGGGCCATGTGCTTCCAAAATTTGAGAGAAATAACTTTAAAAAATTAAAAAAAAAAAAAAAAAAGAGAATTGTTATCATTAATTTAAGGTTTTTTTTTAACGTATCGCACATTTAATCCCTTCCTTCACGGGCACGCTACACACAGCAGGATTCCAATTAACAAATAATTTTTGAAAAAATTAACAAATAATTAACAAATTATTAGCATTAACGAATAATTATTAAAAAATAATGAAGTAAAATCTAGTACTTTCGATTTGTTAATTTTAATACACTCATTTTTTGCCGTGAGATAGAATTAGGAGTAAAAACAAGGCAGGCCTAAAAGTTCAAGGGTGTATAGAAAAATGTGATTAACAACATGAAGAAGTAATAAATTTAGAATAAAATTTTTTAGACCACGCTCTCCTCCCCCCTCCTACACCTTTTTAACAACAACATATAGAAACACCTCAGTCAGTTGCTAACTTAAATAATGTTTTTTTAGTTTACTTTGGGAGACGAGGGTTTTTTTTTTTTTTTTTGTTTGGCTCTAGGGAATTTTTTTTTAAAAGAAGAAAAAATCCAGTTTTTTGGTTTTTTTTGTGGCTTCACTTTTCACAAATTCCTTTTATATTCACAGCTTTCCTAAAAGCTGTGGCTTATGGCCTATGTTAAACTTATGGAATATTTACTTTTAAGAACGAACTGTTCAAAAAGTAAAAGTTTTTTAATTTTTTTTATTTTCTTCCCAGTTTCAAACTGAAACCAAGACACCCCCTGAAGCTGCTGAGTAAAGAAATTTCTACTCACTCATATAAATTCTCACAGATTGGATCTGCATTATTATTATTATTAATCTGATAATTGTTACTATTTGAATCATTATAGAGAGCTTCGAATTCCTCCACTTGCTCCCGGAGATATTCTGGAATTACAAAGGGTTCATTTGGAAAATCTCTGTACCTTAAAAAAGAAGAAAAAAAAAATAATAAATCAAGTTATCCCAGCCTTGGTGTTTTTAAGGGATTCTTCTCCAGCAATTTGGAGTTTGGGCAATAAAAGCAGAATTAAATACTCACAAATTATTTTCTTCTATAAATATCTTCTCTTCTTCTCGTGGTGCTGTACTAACTCCACTGGATAATACTAAAATAGACTAATTAAAAACAAATTTCTTTTAGTTTTTATCTCACAAAAGCTCCTATAAAATAACCCACTGCAAAGACCAGCGATTGAATTTTGTTCTTTAAATTCATTATGAACTGCAAAATTTCCAGGTAAAATTATCAGTGCTAAGCCACAGCAAGGAAATTCTTAATTTAAAGTTATTAATTTCTTCTTCAGAACTTATTTGGGAAAAAGAAATTGGGATATTCAGCCCCAAATCCCTCTTTTTTTGCTGATTTCATTGAAATTTAATTGAACTTTTTTTTAAATTTGAGCTGTAACAAATTTATCAAGAGCAGGAGTTATCCCTAATTCCACATGTGACTCTGGTTATTTTTGTCTATACCACTACAGACATTTTAGTTGTCCTCATTTTTATCATCTAATAATTTAGAAATACACACAAATAAATGCACCTAAGTCAGAATAATAAATCCTGAGGAAAAATCTGAAGTTTATTCTCTGAAATTCTGAAAAATGACAAAAAGGTGAGGCTGGGTCTGAGGTTTTCAATAAAGCAAAATCCTCCAAAAGGCAGCACAAAATTCAGGCAGAATAATAATCCAATAAAATAATGAAGGATTAATAACATTCCTGAGCATGAAATGGAATTTTTGATTTGAATTCCCATCTTTCCACATGGAAAATTAAAATCACATTAAATAATAATTCAGAATTAAGCCAGTGGAAGGTGCCTCCAGTCAGAGCCAAAGTTAGTCACAAATAAATTTTAAAATAGCTTTTATATGGATAAATTTTAACAAAACTGTAACATTTGAGTCTTTAAACACCTGAATTTTACTTCAGGAAAAGTTACTTCAGCAAGGAATCTACTCAAGGTATTTATTTAAAACAGCTCCTATCCATCTGCATGGCAGAAATTCTAAAAAAAATCCCCATTTTTAGGTGGATTTTTAGTAGCAAATAAATGGTATCTGCTTCCAAAGTTACTGACCTTTGAATCTTTCAAATTCTTCTTCCTGTTTTTGTTTTTAACTTTGATTTCATTATTCTGGAACAGAAAATAAAATGAAGGCACAGGATTGGCAAATATTGCTTCAGTTTTCCAAGGAAGACAAAGATGAAGGAACTGAAATCTGAATTAATTCTTTAACAGGGTTGGGGTTCCACATGAACAGAATAATGACAGGTTAGAATTAGGCTGTAACACTGAAATTAAAGCAGTTTTATTGTGCTGCTTTTCATTTCATTCTTGGATTTTCCCAATTCATGAAATGAAAAAGAAAAAAATTCTGCATTTTATTGGTGTACACTTAAAATTCTGCATTTCATTTATGTGCACGTTTAAAATTCTGCCTTTCATTAACGTGCACGTTTAAAATTCTGCATTTTATTAATGTGCACATTTAAAATTCTGCATTTTATTAGTATGTACATTTAAAATTCTTCATCTTATTAATGTGCACATTTAAAATTCTGCATTTGTATGTACATTTAAAATTCTGCATTTTATGAATGTGCACATTGAAAATTCTGCATTTAATTAATATGTACATTAATTAACTCCAAAGTTTTATTCTGAATCAAATCTCGGATTTGTAAAGGTAAATTTAACTGCAGACAAGAACTTCAAATGAGGTTCCTCAGGCACAGAATTAACTGAAACACAAAATCTATTTCTGCCAATTGGGATGGATTTTAATGATGACACTGATCAAAAAGTGATTCAGAATGAGGCAGACTTGGAAAAATATTATTAAATAATTCAAAAATCAAATTATTTAAGAAAAGGGAGCTCAAAGAAGAGATTAAATCTCCAATAAGTCTGAAGGAAATATTGCAAAATATTTCCTTTTCTAAAAGAGCAAAAAGTTCTTTTTGAGCTGAGGCCAATCAGAAATGAAGTTCACTTACTGATAAATTCTCATTTCCCTGCTTCTTTAATATAATGGTTGGGTCATCTGTTGAAAAGATAAAAGTCACAGTGATTGATGGAAATAAGAATATTTCATTTAATTTACAACCTAACTGTGAAATCACAGGAATTATTCTTCCAATCTTTTATCCAACACCACCAAAGCAGCTCCAAAACTGCAGCTGCAGAACTTTTAACATTCAAAACTGCACAATAAAAATGAAATTTTATTGGGAATGTTTGATCCCTTTGCCTACTCACCCATTTTATCAAAGAATTCATCTAAAGCTTGATGGAGGCCTGGAAAATGTTCTCTGTTTTCTTCTAAAAGCCATATAAAACAACGGGATTTCTCTAGGGGAGGGCTGAGGAAATAATCACAAATTTCTTGCTTTTCACCATCAGCTGCCACATAATCAAATTTATTTCCATATTTCTGGTTCCACAGTGGGGTTAAAATAGAAAGGTCAAGCTCTTGCAGAACTTGGCCATATTGAAGGATAAAGTTTTTTGTAGCTGTCAGACCTGAAAAAGATGGAAAAAAAAAATCCCAATATTTCATTCCAGCTTGGAATTTTTAGTGCTTCAAATGTGATATTCTTCTTCAAAGGGGAGGAGTTTGGTCTAGAATTAAATGTACAGATGATGTGAGAGCTTTTGTGTCTTGAAAATGCAAACAAAAAAAGAGGAGTGGGGTTGATATAAATGCCACTCTCACCAATTATTATTTGTATAATAATAACAAACTTTGGATCTATGAATCCTTGGAAGGATATAGATGTGACAGAGGAAAATGAAGAACCCCAAACCCCAAAATTCCATCTTTTTTCCATTAGAAATCCAACAGGAAACTACAGAGCACCAACACGAAATTATTTCCAAGTTTAACAGCAAAAAAAAAAAAAAAGTTTAACACCGTTATTTATGCTCCAAAAACCAGATTATTGTTACAAATATCAACATTTAAGCCCATTCTGGAATTTCCAAACCATTTCATAAATGGTTCCAATTCTCTCTTTCCTGCATGAGCCAAAGGCCAGCAGAGCTCCTGGGTCACCCAGGTCGTGTTTCCCTCTGGGAATCAGGGGAAGCACGAAGAGGGGAAAGTTGAATTTTGATTTTTCAGAGGAAGGGAAGGGGGGAAGCAGGGAATTGTTGCTGCACAGAACCCACCCAGGTGATCCAGGTGCTGCAGCCACTTGTGCACCTTGGGATCCACCTGTCCCAGCTGGCTCAGCACGTGCAGGAATCCCCTGCTCTGCACTCGAGATTTCTCCTGGATTAAGGAACTGATGAGCTGCTCCAGCACCTCCTGGGAAGTGCCATTCATTTGGGAATAAGAGGTGAAATCTTCCTGTCTGATCACACCCCACTCCAGTAATTCCTTTAATAACTGGGCAGTGTCAGGGACAGCAGCTTGGATCTGCTGGGAATTCCTCTGGATGTGCTGCAGCACCTGGTCCCCAGCATATAAATCCTGGCCATAACCTGGAAAATTAAACAGATGGCATTAAAAAAAAACCCACAAAAAAAACCACAATATGAGCAAGATTTCACGTCCTTACCACCATTCCAACCAATTTAAAAGCACAGGTAATTTGGATTAAGTGGTGTTTCTAACTATTTGCTTTACACTGAAAATTACAGGATTGAAAAAATTCTTTTTTTCCATATATCCCGAGCATTATTAATTTGATCCAACACTGATTTAAATTTTTGTTTCAAGAAACAAACACCCTGCCCAGATTTTAGGATGAAGTCACAGTGACCTGCAGTGGGGCTCCAAGGATCACAACTAAAGACAAGCCAGAGAAAAGGAAAGAGCAAAGATTTAAAACAAAACAAACAGGAAATAAGTGAAAGTGATTTTACAAATACACAGGGATGTGTAAATTTTCCCAAATTTATAAATTCCCAAATTTTCAGGATATGCCATTGAGCAGGGAACAGGTACCCAGAGAACCCCAAGCAAGGGATTAAAAAAAATACACCCAGAGTATTTAACAGGGAATCTTAGGAAATTATAAATTAATTCTATCCCAAGTTGACAATACAGACAAAAAAAACCAAAAAAACTTTCTAACATCTTTTTTTTTTTTTTTTTGCCCTGAGAAGCTGCAGAAGTTCCCAGCTCTGGAATGGGGAGCAGCCAAATCCATCAAGGCAAAAACTGAAGCTTTAAATGCCTACAAAGTCACAGACTGGAATATTTTTATTTCCCCCAATCATCTGAAATGTACTTTTCAAATCACTGCAGGTAGGAGATCAGTCTGTCTTTATTTGAGGTATTTTTTTTCTCTAACAGTGTCCCAAGGTGCTTTTTCTGAATTTTCCCATTTTCTGTTTGCCCATTTTCCCTTCTCACTCAGAATTGGAGCCTTTCCCCTCTCCAGGCTGATTCTGCAGGAACCAGCCAAGGAAAAATCCAAGTTTTCTACTAGGAATTAAACCATGCAGTAATTAAACCATACAGTAATTAAACCACACATTAACATCCCCCAGCTGTTTGGACAATAAAAACAGAAGGGAAATGAAATCAGTCTTAAGTAAAAATGCAGATTTTTCACAGGGGGGTGATGTTCAGTGTTAGGATTCTGCTGTGACTGAATTGGGGATATTGAGAATGTTGATTCCATTGCTTTGTGAGAACTCACAATCCCAGAATCCCAGGAGAACTGAGGTTGGAAAAGTCCTCCAGGAGCACCAAACCCAAACTTTGATCCCCACCTTGTCCCCAGCCCCGAGCTCTGAGTGCCACCTCCAGGAATGGGGACTCCAAAACCTCCCATTCTCCCTTTCCATGCAAAAATCAGCCCCAAAAAATCCACATTTCCACGTACCCCTGTGCTGACTGTACTGGGATTCTTCATTTCCCTCCTGGTTTTCCTCAGCTTTTTTCCTGGCAGAATTCCTGGCCTCTTCTCGCGCTCGTTTTCGCCGCAGTTTTTTTTCTTGTTTCATTTTTATCTTCCTAAGACTGCAAGAAAGCAATTCAGCAGTGAGCCAAACATTGAACTGAGGTGAAAATATCCCACTGAAAACTACACAGAGAATAAAAATGGGTCTTCATTTCGAAGCAGAAAGCACAAAACTTCATAAAAACATCAATGTCCTCAAGATGGAACAACTGTGACTCCCATTGAAGATGTCGAATTTAGGATTGGCTTCAATACTCTAATTCTTCATTTATAACTCAGCATTTTCAATCAAATATTAACATTGTATTCCTTTCCTTTCTAAAAATCTGTTTTGTTTGTCCTTTCAGCTTGATTGCTCATTATTTAATTGTTACTTGACCAAAAAAAATTACAAATCCAGCTTTGTCAAAGGTCTGGGTATCAATAACTACAGCAGCAGCAGAAAATACATTTTTATTTACACTTCCTACACATTCACACAAAATAAATTCTGTGGAACAATTTACATGCTTTTACCATTGGATTACAATGGATTTTACCAGAATTTTTTGATTTATCAGGCAAAGGGCAAGGGTAACTTTCCAAAATATTTGTAAAAAGGCATGAAAATCCCTCCTGCTTTGCTCTCAAATCGATTCCAACAGGACAAATCTTACCTTGAACATTTCTGTTTTATACAAGCCCTTGGTGGTTCCTTGAGTTTTGGGATTTTTTGTTCAAACTACCAAAATAAGGGATAGGAGAGGAATTAAATTTGGGTTATGACACAACAAACCCCACAATCATTCCTGCTTCTCTCAGGTCAATATTGCCCTGGGGAGAATTCTCCATTTTCCTGGAGCTCTGGGGATTTATTCCTGAAGGATTCTTGAATTTATTGAATTCCAGTCCCCATCCATGACCATCTGAGCAGAGCACAAGGCAATTCCTGCTCCACTAGAACAGGAAATTTTTATTCCTGAATAATCCTCACATTCTGGTGTCAAGGCAGCATAATTTTTTTTTTTTTTTTTTTTTTGCAGTTACATTCTCATCTTCACTTTATCCCCCTTAATATTCCAATTAATTTCATATAAAATACGACCATACTTACTTCACATTTTACCAGCCCAGAAGAACTGAAAATAACTATTTTTGAAATAAGGCCTTTACAATCAGGAGTAAAACACATTTCCTTAAGGAAATCCTGCAGGAGAAAAGGACACACACACACCAAAGGCATTTAAATCCACACACCATTTATGTTCCTGACACAAATTAATTTCTTAATTTGAGGTGAGCAAAGCAATTAAAGGAAGCACAATCCTAAACTCCTCCTGGATGCTGATTGAGAGCTGACTTGGGAAGGGCTGAAAATCAAAAATCATGGAAAATCTGTGACATCTTTTCTTCTTTTACTCCCTCCTCCAACTTCACACCCAAGAGTCAACTTCCAGAATACTTTTAGTTCCTTATTTCCCTTCACTTTATCCTGGCTGCTGAATTTTCTGGAATTCTTCTACATATCTCAATGCCAGGATCTTACAAAAAATAAAAATTCCAGTCTGGCAAAGGCCTCACCTTATCATTTTTATCACTGTAGCTCGTTGTTTTCAGCTTTTTCCAGCAGCTGATGTGGAACTCCACTCTGCACTGCTGGCAGCAAATAACACGTATAAAACCCTAAAAAATGGCAAAAATGGAACACCTTGAAATAAAATCACAACAAAAAAGCAATGCTCAGCTTAGCAGATGACATAAAAAGGGGCAGAAAATATGTCAAGTTTTACTTCTCAAAACTTTCTAAGCTAAAAATTTACCTTAAAGTCTGGGTCTGTAAAATATATTTGGATTTTGGAGTAGCCATGGCACTGCTGATATCGACAAACAGCATCAGGCTCTGGAGGGAATTTACATTCCTCAATACAATTCCTTAAAGCCATCTGGAAAACACAGAATTATGAGAGACAAACTGCATAGAAACCAGGAAAAAAATTCAAAATCTACTCACAAACTCCTGGGGACTGCAGTGAAACACATCCCTCTTGGAAATCAGTGACTAATCCCCAAAAAACCAATTTTTTTCCTAGTGAAAGCCAGGCAAGATTGGCCTTTTATGGCCAAAATATTCCAGGGATTCCTTGAAGTGCTGGCAGCTCACAGCTTCACATACACAAAAAAAAATTAAAAATGCAGGTTTATCCTGAGCCAGTGTCTCACATCCTGACCCATTCCAAAGGGTTTTATCATTGTCCAAATGATAAAACAAATTATGGGGTGAAAAAATGGGAGTTTTTTGGTCATTTCTGAAGATTCCCAGCATTTCCAGAGTGTCTCACCCCACACCTGGGCTAAGGATCAAGCTCAGACCTGGCCCTGGGAGGTGTCCCAGGATAATTTCTGAGGAAAGGCAGCAGAGTGGATGTGAAAATGTGAAATTTGAATTGAGCCCAGATTAATAAAACATCACCAAGAAGAGAGAGAGGCCTGATAAAGCCTGGCAGAAATGAGCATTACCCACAGGTCCCAATGCATTGCTGGGTCCAGACTGCCTGTGAGGAATCCTCAGGTTGGGTTTTGGTAGGAAAAAAAACCCAAAAATGCTGATTCTGCCCCAAACTCTGCAGGTCTGGGCAGTCTGGCCAAGTTCATTTGTTATTGTTAAAACATTTAATCACAGAATGATTATCTGCAGATTATTCTTTTATTGAAGAGCTCTGGGAATCAGGGGTGCAGACCCAAATCTGACTCTGACATATAAATATATTTTTATACCCTATATAAATTAATTATTAAATCCATATTGGTCTATTGTATACATTGATCTTATCCAAGAATGAATTCTTGTCATTCTTGTCAAAAATCCTTTCTCAGGATTCTTATTACAATTAAACAATAATTATATTCAATTACCAAACAATCATTAAACAATCCTATCATTTATCACATGATGATTATGCAGGTGGAGCTTCACATGACCTAGAAATAAATAAAACTCAATATTCATTCCCAGGGCCCAGTTCCCTTTCCCAACCTTTACCAGACCCAACTTTTCTTTCCACCCCCTGAATCCATGGGATGCAATTCCCATAATTTCACAAATATTTTAACCCTATGCTGTCACATTCACTGAAAAACCTTCCAGCTCGTGGTGCCAGATTTTTCCAGTCAAACTGGGAATTTTACCACATAAATCCCAGTTTTTTAACCAGGAATTATATGGTCAAAATCTCCTTTTTTTGTTTTAAATTCTCAACTTTCCCGTTTTTGCCAGCTCAGGTTTTTAAGCAGTTCTCCCCAGAATTGTGTTGTGTGTTCACACCTGGGAGTTTGGGAACATGCATGGAAGAAAATCAAACATTATCCCAAAATGATTGGGGCTGGAAAAGAGCCCCAAGATCTGAGCTGTGACAACCTTGTCACTGAGTGCCACACCCAGACCCTGCCAGGACACCTCTGATAAAGGATAGATGGAAAAAAGAGAAATGAAAAAACGAGAAATGAGAAAAAGAAAAATGAAAAAAAAGAAAAAAAAAACAAAAATGAAAAAAAAAAAACAAAAAATGATAAATGAAAAATGGAAAATGGAAAAATGGATAAATGATAAATGGAAAAATGATAAATGGATAAATGGAAAAATGGGTAAATGGAGAAATGGAGAAATGGATAAACAATAAATGGAAAAATGGAAAAATGATAAATGGAAAAAATGGAAAAATATAAAATGGAAAAATGAAAAAAAAATTGGAAAAAATGGAAAAAATGGAAAAAATTGAAAAAATGGAAAAAATGGATAAATGGAAAAACGTTAAATGGAAAAATGGATAAATGATAAATGGAAAAATGGAAAAAATGGAAAAATGGATAAATGGAAAAAAATGGAAAAAAAGGATACATGGAAAAATGGAAAATGATAAAGAGAAAACTGCCACACCTGCTGAGCTCACACAATGCCTGTTCTCCAAACCCCCTGGCCTGCACAATTCCCATTGTGTAGAAGAAGCAGAACTGGAATTTCAGAATTTCAGCCTCAGTGCCTGCCAGCTCACTCTGAGGTCTGAGCCTCACACAACCCCTGCCCTGCTGCCTCCCACCCTTCCTTCAGCCCACATCTCCCTAGGATTTTGGCAGGACAATTTTCTGATTGTTTGTTTTTTTGGTTGGTTTTGTTTTTTTTTTAAGCATACCTGTAAAGTCTCTATTCGTGTCTCCTCGATGACCTGGGTTGTTCCTGGCCAGGTTAAAACTCCAGGGACAATCTTGAAATCAATCATCAGCTTTGCAGTCAGGAATTGGTCCAGGGCATGAGCAAACCTGGAATTTGGAACAGATAAAACCCATTCCCATCTCCTGGGATGAACTCCCTAAAAACTCCCCCCCACTCATTTTATCCTTCCAAGAGCAAAGAGTGGTGATGAGAGGATGGGGGATGAGAGAACACCTGAATTTTCTGTTTCTCTTCCAGATAAAACAGCCCAGGTGGGAGGCAGGAAGGGATGAGCCTGTGCTCCCAAGGGATCCATGGATTGGGAATGCAGGGGGAGTGACTGAGCAGGAGGGGACACAGGACTCTGCCTGGACTCGGGTTTTCCCTGAGCTCACACAGGGACAATGGCAATGCCTGGAGGAGCCTGGATGGCCACAGTGCTGTCACCTGGGCAGGGACATTTTTGGGGGGGTCAGGACTGCCAAGGAAATGAGTCACAACCACAGGAATGGGATTCCTGGATTCCATCCAGCCAGGTGAAATTCCCTCTGAGCATCCTCCACCCCCCTTGAGCAGGTGGTTTTACCATCCCACAGGAGGAAGGGGAGAAGGTTTGGCATCAAAACTTCTTTAGCTGGCATTATTTTGGCACTGCAAGGGTGGGCAGGGAGGTGGGGACCATTCCCTGAGGAATGGCAGAGCCCCAATTCCAGCTGCAGCTCAGCCACAGCTGGGCACGGCTCTGGCACCTCAAGGAAAGCAGGGACAGAAGGAAAAACATCTGCACAAAACCTCGGTTTTTTCAGGGGGAAAAAAACCTCCCCCATTGCCCATCCCTGTGAGCAGCTCAGAGGGAGCAGAGTCAGGAATGAGGGAGTGAATTCCAGCCTGGGATAAAGGAGGGGAAGGGAAAGGAGATTTTCGTGGTTTCCCTTTGCTTCCCACTCCCCAGTTCTGTTTTAATGGGCAATAAAAGTCATTTTTCCTCACGTTGAATGTTACCTGGGAGGGATCAGGGAGTGTTCTCCCTGTCTTTGCCTCCACCCCAGAGCTTTCCCATGGAACTTCTTCATTTTTCCACAAATCCCAGCTGGACAAGGAGCTCCCAGCCAGCCCACCACGAGCCTTTAGGGGGGATTCTGATCCCACAGAGCACCAGGGATATCCCAAAATCCCTTCACGAGCTCCCACAGATCCCACAGAGCACCAGGGATATCCCAAAATCCCTCCACGAGCTCCCACAGAGTACCAGGGATATCCCAAAATCCTTCCAAGAGCTTCCCACAGAGCACCAGGGATATCCCAAAATCCCCCCACGAGCTCCCACAGAGCACCAGGGATATCCCAAAATCCCCCCACGAGCTCCCACAGCTCCTGCCCCCATGGCAGCTGGGATTCCCAGCAGGGAGAAATTCCACCAGGAATTCCTGGATGGGTGGGAGCAGCTCCAGCTTTTTTTTTTTTGCTTTTTGTTTCTTGTTCTCACTTTGTTTCTCTGCATTCCAGGCTCTCCCTGTCCCTCTGGGATGTGCCAGCCCTGGAACACCTCCCTGTTTGTCTGCTCCAGGGAATTTGTGACTCACTGGAGCCTTATCTCAGCCCAAGGTCACTCTCCAGCTCCCCAGGGATGAGATAAAGCCACATTTCTTTAGGATGCATTTTTTTTTCTTCCCCCAGAACAAAGAGGTTTTGTTCATTTCCTCTGAGCTCTCCCCCACTGCAGGGCTGTGAGCCCTGAATCCCAAATATTCCCTCCAATCTGCTCCTCAGCAGGAACAAACTCCTCCTCTTGTATTAAATCCATTGTATCAAATCCACCTGCTGGATGAATTTCATGATTAAAGAAAAATTAAAGCCCTCACCAAGCACAGTTCCTCAATTTAAAAGATTTTTCCCATCAAACCCTGAAATTTTCCATCAGACCAACCTGTTTTGCCTGAGGTAAACTTTTCCAATTCCATAGTGTGCCAAACAAAAACAACTTTCTTCTGGATGTTCCTCAATTATTTTCTTAAACTGATGTTCAGCCTTTGTCAATGCCTTCAAAAGAAATGGGAGACACAAACACATGGAGTTTTGCCAGAATATTTCCACTTTTCCTGGGTTTTATCTCCTTTAGTGTGGGTCAGTGAGTCCTGTTCCTTGATCAGTCTTAGGAACAGTAAATGGATTTACACACCCTTGTGATCACAGGCAAAACTTCCCCTTCATTAAAAAAAACCACCCTAATTTATTCTGTAAACATGGATTTGCTGTAACATAAAGGAATTAAATGACTGAGCTCATCTATTTATGAATCCTGCAGGAAGAAACAGCCAAAAAAAAAACCCCAAAGCCAGTTCTGGTTTTGCATTTTCCACAACTCAAAACAACTCCTGGTTCGTGTTTTAGGAACAGAATATTTATGTTCTGTACACCAGTGCAGAGCAGAAATAAAAATTATTGACTGTCATTTCTTGATACTTAGATGCTCACTTGAAAGCTTACAAAGAAATTTTATTTGATAGCCTAATTCATCCAAAATCATCAAGGATTTAATCCCAGATATTCAACTGCACAATTCCAAAAATGTGTCCTGAGGTTTCCTTCCTTCCTCATCTTCTCAGTCAGGAAAACACAAAAAAATGGATGGGAAACTTCCTGAGCTAGAAATTGGAATTAAGGCAATATTTCAATATAAAATAGATAAAAATAAATATATAGCTAAATAAAAATACAAATAAGTTCATATCCTACCTCAGGGTGTCCCATTCCCAGGAGGGCAGTGGCATGTCCATAGAGGAATATAACATAATTAATATTAAGAACATTCACATACTGAAAAAAAAAACAAAACAAAACAAAAACAGAGTCAAATTATAGTCACAGCACAATTAAATATTAAAAATATTGTCAATTAATTAAGAGAAATCCAGGATGACTTTTGGGTCAATGGCTTGATTGGGTAAGGACACACAGACACCAAATTTCACAGATTTTGCCATCAAAATCCTTTTTACCTTTCATTCTTATGACTCAAGGTTCATTTAACTATCATATCAAGCCCAACCAACAACGGTGTTTTTATTAAAAAAACCACAATATTCGATCCAAATATTTGCTATCACTCTTCTAAGAAACTTAATTTGGGATATTTTGGAAATAAATGCAGGTGTGTGTGTGTCTAACACTCCTAAAATACGAGGGAATATTTGTCCCAAAAAATATTTTTCCCAGCCAACAATTCACTAAAATCATGATTATTTTAGAGGAAGGGAGGAATGGCACAGGATGGTGGAGGCTGAAACTTCCAAAGGAGAGAATTGTGCAGATTTTACCGAAAATCCTGAGGTGCACAGGATGCTCAGGAGTTGGGAAAATGCTCTTTCAGCTCCATGGCACTGCTGCTCCAGCAGGGCTCTGCAGCCATCCCGAGCCAGGGACTTCACATCCTCGGGCAGAGTGTTGAAATCCACCTGCAATGTACAGCCAAAGTCAGTCAATCTGAAAAAAAAAATGAATTTTCCTCCCCTTTTTCTTCTTTTTTTTTTTTTTTTTAATATATAAATAAGAATATTTTTGGTAAATGTTTTTTACACATCCTGTGCTGCTGTTGGGTTGGGGTTTTTTTTTTTCCACCTTCTTCTCATGATTTGCAGCAATAATCAGGATTGTTATGGGGGAAGGAAGGAGTGGAATTTGAATTTCTGGGGGGGGAAAAAAAACAACAAAAAAACCAGGTTATTTCTCAGAATTTACCGTGAATTCTGGAGTATTTAAGGCTCTCAGCAGGGGAAATAAAATTGGTCCATCCCTGTCCACCAAGGCTGCACCACCCTCCAGCCCAGGGCATTTTACATCTGCACTGAAATCCACCTGCAAGGGTTAAAAGGCAGAAAGTTCAAAAGAAACCAACTTTTTTTTTTTTTGTGTGTGTGTGTTTTTTAAAATTATTTTTCTTTTTTGTTTGTTTTTTTGTTTGTTTTCTTTTTAATTTTCAAAAGCAAGCAAATGACTTGTTTTGCAAAATAAATGTTTGCTAAAATACTTTTGCCACAGCCAAGTGGAAATTTCTGCTTCCTCCTCAATTGTTTCACCACAATTCCATTTTTCAAGCAGCAAAGAAAGTGCATTTCTATAAAACTCTTGGATTAGATTCTCATGGAGCTGCTAATCTCTGAAAAATCTGGTTTTTATTCTAAATTTCTCTCCAGAAAGCTGCAACTTCAATTCAAGCATCATTTTCATTCTTCTTCCATATAAAAAAACCCAAAAGCACAACCCAGACTTCTGCTTTTCCTCACTCTTTGTATCCAAATGTTTTTTTGGAACAGCTGAGAATTTTTTTCCTTCTGCAACACTTTGTGTCCACCTCGTGCTGGAAAGTTTCAGAGTGAATTATTTTATTCTGGATTTTGTTATTATGTTATATTCAAATTATATTTTGTTTTCATTATTGATACTTTCTGAAATCTGCAGGAATTTCCAGCAGGGACATTGTAAATAAAGAAGATTTCCTATCATTTCCTAAATCTCCTGGGTTAATGCTGTCCCATGCATTATAGAACAAAATTAATTATATTCATTTCCTGGTAAATTACATGACATATAAAGCAGATTAAATTAATGAAAATTTTCCTTTCAACACCAGCAATGAATTAACAAAACAAAACAAAACAAAAAAAAGTATTTTACAGGAAATAAGAGATCTTAGTGCAGGTAGAACCTGAACATTCTCCTAAATTCAGTTTTGTCCTGTGATGTATTTAATCAGAACAGAGATTTTTGGTATCTAGATCCCCCAATTAACAGGGATAAAAGAATTAATTTGTGCATCCCCATCATTTCCTTCAGGAATTTATTGGTGCTAAGACCAGAGAAGGAGAATTTTCCCTCAATGTATGAATTCCACAGTGTTTGCAACAGCCATTGCACAAAATTGGATATTTCCAAATGAATCCAACACTGCAAAACATTTCAATGAAATTTGGGAATTTTAAAATCCCTGAATGATCCCAGCCAGGTTTTACAGCAGGAGAAGAAAGGGAAACCAGAAGAAAAAGAGAGAATAAATCAATTTAAATCAATTTAACCACAGAATTTCTGCCTCTGGTCAAAGCAGAGCACAGAGTGTCAAATTTTGGAATTAACCAAGATTTTGTGCAATATTCCTAAAAAAACAACAAATCATTTCCAATTTAATGTTGAATTCCCATTACCTGTGGCACAGCACAGAAACTTTTATCCTCCATGGCTTTAGACTCCCCCTTCAAATCCACAGGATCCCTACAAAAAACAGCACAAGGCTTTGTAAATCTGCTTTAAATCTCAATTTATTCTCAGTGAACTTTGATTTTCACGGGTCTGATCAACTCCCCCCCAGCAATTTTGGAGCTGGTTCAGCTGCTTTGAAGAGCATTTATTCCAAACTAAATAAAAATATTCCCCCTCCTTGAAGTGAAAGGAAAAAGAAGTCATTGATAATTCACTGAAATGACCTTTCCTGTGGCAAAATTTCGAATTTCCATTTCCCTACCTACACTGGCACTCAAAAAATGATGGGAGAACAACAGGATTGCACTGAAATAAATCCTGATTAAAAGAAATTCGGATTTGTGGTCACACTTAAAGATTAGGACTATTAGGAATAATGAGGTTTCCTAAAAGCTTGGGGAAAAATTTTCTTTAATAGAAACTTCCCAATTTCCAGGTAAAAAAACCTGTTTGGCTGCATTCTCATCCTAAACACAACCAAAAATCTCTGGAGCATGGTGGCCCCAGCAGCACTGGAAATTATGAATAATTTCCTCTGATAAACTCTGTTGGAATTGGCAGCATAAATATTATCCATAAAAATCCACATTTTTACCTCAATTAATTAAATTTTGGCCTCATTCCTGTTCTAAAGGAGCATCCATAGCCTTAAAAATCAGATTTTTGACGGTGCTTTAAGTGAAAATTGGAACCAAAAAACAACTAAAGGACTCCAAGCAAATTTCTTTCCTAATATAAAACTCATAAAACCAGATTTCATCTTTTTTCCTGAGCTCAGGGAGTGGCAGAGGAGTTTGAAAAATTCTTTGGTGCAAAGAGGCCTTGGAAATGAGGTAAGAGTGAGTTACAATTATTGCTGTAACTTTGGATGCAACAACTGAAACAAAACTCCTCTGCTTTAACAGCAAATATTCAAATTATGCCTCCATTTACTAAAAGTCAGCTGGGCATGGAAGATATTCAGGGGAAAAACTGGAATTTTGGGAATTTTATCCATTATCAGGATGTAAAAAGTTACACAAAGCCATCAGCAATGAGCAAGCAGCAAATCCAAGTTGTATTGATCTTACATAAAATAACTCAAAATAATAATAATTAATTTTAAAATAAATAGCATTTCTTACCTTATCTTTTCATAAGTTTCACAAGTTTTGGTTTTTGGCTTTCGTTTGTTTTGCTGACTTTGGTCTGTAATGAGAAAAAGGATTTTAAACAAAATGAAAATCACTTAAAACAAGCAAATAAAAAAATGCACCTGGAACTCCAAATTGGCTTTATAAATGGTAGATCTTAAAAACTGACAAGGTCAAAATTAACACAACCAAAAGGTGTTAATACCATTAATTTCATTTTAGTTTTGTTCCATTGTATATAGGATTAATAAAATCCTAAAAGATTTCAAACTTCAAATAGAAGAATGTGAAAATCCTGCAAGACATGACTCCAAGAAATTGTGATTATTGAAGTGATCTACAGGCTAAAGAAATCAGTCTGTCCTATAAAAGCAGAGTTGGTAATATTATACATGTATTTCTAATTATTATGTAATTATATTTATTATTATAGTATATTATTATATTGTAATGCTGTGTATTACAGCACATACATTATATGTTAGGTAATGTATTATAAAACAACATTATGCAATATTTTATATAAAAATTATTTGGATTTTTTTTTTTTATACTATTAGTGACCAGTCAGAATTTTCAAATACCCAGGGAAATTCAAATTTCTCTGGAAAAATTTTGAGGATGAATTTTTTTTACTTCAAAACCCCCGAGTTAAAGTGAAATTCAAGCCCTGTCGATCTCAAATATAAATAATCAGAGACAAATTCTTTTTTGAGGCCTGTCTACAAGAGAAATCAATGAGGAAATATTGGATGACAAAAAACAAGGAAGGATTTATCACTTTGAACTTTCAAATTTTAAATCACAGACTTCACACAAACACTTCAAAACTCCAGAGATCCAACCCTGGGGAAACAATTCCTGAGCAACCAAAAAGGAGAAAATGTGGTTTATTGTTTAATTGGGATGGACAAACCCAGGAATTCCTGCCATTAACTGCAAAATCATCTTTTTTATTGGACACACCCACAGGAAAAACAACCCAGCACCTGCATCGAAACTTTTGGGCACTGGGTTATTGTTATGCTGAAAATACCAGAAAATCAAATTTACAAACAGGAGGAGGAGTTATTAATGTGAAATAGGAAATTTTAGCAACCACCTGTGCTTAAAAAAAAAAAAGACATTTAAGATGATTTTAAACACAAAATACTGAAAGACAGTGGAAAAACCCAGCTCCAGCCCCGAGTGCTCTCCCTGCAGGCAGGGGAGGTGTCCCATGAACATTCCTCTGTTAAATCCTGCCCGGGGCCACTTCAAGCCTTGTGCCAGGAGCCATTTCTCATCAAAAGCTCCTTAATGACCCCAAAATTTCCATGAGTCAGCACAAAAATCCCGAGTCACCGGGAATGAACAGGCTCAGAAGGATTGCATGGATCACTCCTGGAGGGGATGGCTGCAGGAACACGGGGCAGCTCCAAATGCACCGAAAATCACCATAAATTCCTCTAAATAGAGATATTGGAATGATGGGAAATCAGAATTCTTCTGAAAACCTCCAGCACATCAAACTTTAACCACCCTAAGGCTGAGATATTTCACGTTTTCTTCATTTGATGTGTTGCTTTCCCTTAAGGAACCAATGTTAACTCACAACAAAATCTCAGTGAAGAGAAAAGAAACCATTTCACCATCAAAGGAAGAAATCAATCACCATTATTTTTGCACGGAGTGATCCAATTTCAAAAGCCATTCAACAAAAATCGCTGCAGAAACAATTCCCATAGAAACAACTCCTCCCCTACAACACCCAACTTCAAATGCAGCTTCCAGATCAAATAAAAAAAAACTTCTAAATACAGGCAAAAAGCAAATTCAGCTGATTCACAGTTAAAATACTTAAGGAAATGTATTAATTCCAAAGAAAATAGCATTTACTTACCCCACAAACACTTTAAAATATTAGAAGTAGAATTACTTTTCCTAACACTTTCCATTAGGAGTAACCAAAGATATTTAATAAAAATATACACCAGCTCAAAGAAACAATACATGAAGACCAAAAATAGGAAGTAGCAGGAAAAATTAATCAAAAAGGCCAATAACTTTACAATAATAAAATGTAGCATTAAGTTCTTTTCCATTAAACTCCTGCAAGTTCAGTGAACAAAGGCAAAGGAGGAAAAAAAAAGAAAAAAAAAGGCTCTTCCTCCCCACCCACAACAAACTGGGGCCAGCCAGTCACTGGGAGCCTCCTCCTCCTTTCAAATCAAATATTTTGCTCTACAAAACAAGGGGGAGGAGAAAGGGGGAACAGAAAGTGAAAATAAAGCAGGGAAAATAAAGCAGAAACAGGGGATGAACACAAGATGGGTGAAATGACTGCACTCAACTCATGTCGTGGTCTTTGGCCAAGAATTGTCAGATTTCTCCCAGCATTATTCCCCCTCTTCATTCCTCAAATCCTCCAAAATTCAACCACTCTGGCCCTTGTGCAGCCCCCCTGTGCCTCCCCACCCTGCCAGGGAAGAATTGCTAATTTAATGCCTGTGAGAAATGTGATTCATTGTAACTATATTAACAAAATCGTACTCAAATCAATAGAAAATAATTGTTAAAAAAAAAAAAAAGGAAATGAGTGAGACAAAGCAGATGGAATCCTCCAGATGTTGATGGGAGTAATAGAAGGATTAGGTTTGAGAAGCAGCATCTGGAAATAAAAAGTTTTGACCTTGGAATGGTCAAATTGGGACGAGTCCAGGCATGGGACTTGAATAAAGTTTGATTGTGGGAATTTATGAGTTACAGATTAATTACAAAACCCCAAGCTGAGAGTGTCTGAGCTACCTGGTGAAGACAAAGAGCCTTCATGAGAAATTAAACCTCCAAAAGGATGAGAGACCCCTAACTACCAACAGAGCATGCACAACACAACATGGAGATGCAGATTTTAGGAACAGAAACTAGGAGGGGCTTTCCAGAAAATTCTGTATCAATATGTATTAGCATATTAATTAGGTTTGATTTTTTTTGGTCTGTGAGGAGGGTTGAGCCCCTCCCTGTATCCCCAATGGGTTTTGCTTATGCTTTAATTATATTAAATTACTCACTGCCAAATTTTGGATATGCTCAAATATATCTCTCCAATATACTTGGATTGGATTCATTTTTATACAATTGTTGCTATTAAAAATTTTGTTGCTGAATTTAATTTTGTTGTCTGACAAATTGGACAAATGGAATGACATTGATAACAATGGCCAATTTCAGCCTCTGGCATTTCATGTGTGACACAAGAGGAGAAGGGGAATTCTCAGTCCCCCTGAAGTTGGGGATAAGAGCTCAGAGCCCAACTTGCAGAGGAGATAAAAGAACATCAGGGAGACACAGAGGATGCTGCACACAGCTGGAAACTGGGGGGGAACAGATAATGAGGAATACAGAGAGGTTGGGGCAAAATTAAATTACAGGAAACAACAGCACACGCCCAAAGAGGAGCTCAAGGAAAGGAAACTCGAAATATTGGGGGGGCTCAGTGAACACAAGCCCAAAAAACTCTCCAGGGCCACGAAAGGACCTCCAGGAAGAGGTGGATGCATGAAATGAATTCCAGGAAAAGCAATGTGGAGGTGTCTGGGCACTGAGGATAAGGAATGGCTGATTCTGAACCCTTCAGATCGGGTTAGAAAGTTTGGGTTTGGCTGTTTCAGCATCACCTCCTGCAGCTCAAAGCCATGCCCTGGCTCCTCCAGGTCCCTCTCCAGCTCTCCTGGAGCCCCTTTAGGCACTGGAATGGGATTTAAGATCTGTCTGGAGCCTTCTCTTCTCCAGGCTAAAAATTAATCATTATTAAACAATTGCTTGAACAAACAGTGCACTCAATTATCCACAATTGTGAGAGATGGGGACTCATGATCAGAACCCAAATTTCTGTGAGCCACATGTGCTTATATACCATGCTCAGGAAGGCTGGTAATTATTTTACTACATTCACTGGGTTAAACATCACACAGATCAACTTTACATTTCTGCTTGATTCAATCTTCTTTCCTGTCAGCCACTCTTGATCCAATCTTCTTGTCATCTTCAAAGCTCTGTTGGCTCTTGCCAAGGCATCTTGGTTATCAAACTGCAAATGCTCATTAAATCCACAGAACTCTCTGTCTTAGCTCCCACACTCAAGTATCACTTATAACCACTTATACTGTGTAATAAATTGATTAAAATCCCTTTCTCTAATCATTATCTCCATCAACTGAAATACAGGATTTATTTGACCTGTATCAGTTATTGGAGTGTGTAAAACAGGAGTGTGTAAAACAGATGGAGTGTGTAAAACACAAGGATGCAGGGATTGAATTAAAGCCTTTAGAGAAATTAAAATACATGAAGCCACACAGACATGAAGTAGAAGCTTTAGTTTTAAGTAAGGAGAAATATTATTATGTCACACAGATATGAAATAGAAATAAAAGTCCTAGTTTAAGTAAGAATATGCTTTAAGTGCCTTGAGAGAGTATAAAGTTCAAGCCAAGGTAAAAGTTCAGAAACTTATCCCCAGACATAATAAAAACATATTAAGAACATTGTTTTCATTTTCTAGATAGGAAAGAGCCATTCACATGAATAGAGCTGTATGAGTAAATTATGTGTAAGAATTAACACTGCTTTTGTATTTTAAAACTAAGATTCTAACGGGTGAAGGAGGAATGTTTTAGGTTCGTGTTTGTAGCTCATTGGGTTGATGCCTTGGGTTTGAGCTTTTCTATTTTCCAGAATCTCTGCTGCTTAGTGTGGAACTCTGAAGCTTCATATTCGGTGTTAGTAAGTTCTCTTCACAGGGGAGTGACAAAACAATCCCTTTGTAGCTGGAGAATCAAGGACACCCAAAAATCAGAAACAGCAGTGAGGGAAAAGGGGCAAACCAGGGGGCTGAGACTTCATAGCCTGGGGCTGTGCTTGGATAATTGACCCCAATGTGTAAATGAACCAAAACTTATAAAAGTGTAAAAACTCGTGACCAGGATCCATCTTGGATTTGATTTGGGTGTAGCCCCAGCCAGGCTCCTGCACTGCCCAAGGTGAATCCTTTCAATAAATTCCCATTTTATCCCTTTTGCTCTGTCTGGTCTCTGTTCCAGCTCAGCCTTTCCAGGCACCAGATGATTTATCAATAAAAACCCTTGGAGTGAAAAAATCATCATCAACACCATCATCACTACCAGCACACACATGGAAGAAGAAGAAACAGAAGAAGAAGAAGAAGAAGAAGAAGAAGAAGAAGAGGAGAAGAAAAGAAGAAGAGAAGAAGGAGAAGAAAAGAAGAAAAAGAAGAAGTACCAGGGAGTTGCTGCTGCCTCTGCTCAGGACTCTACACTAGAAAGCTTTTCATGGACTTTAATACTTTGAATTCTTCAAGCTTTGCATTTATGCAATGAAGATAAAACTGCATACATAATAAACATAAATATTGCATTTATGCAATAAACAACTTTAGAGCATCCAACTACTGCTCTTGTCCCTTTGAAGACCCATGGATACCTCAGCAATCAAAATCTTGGGTTTGCCATCCTTCATCCTGAGGGACAAACTCCAGAAAGGATCAATTCCACATAAACCAGTGCCCAGCTCTGCCACTAAACCTGGATCCACCACACCCACACTCCTCCAGGAGAGGGGATTTAGAAAAGCAGGAATTCCCCACCCTCCCAGGGAACAATTCCTAATTCCCAAAATCCCATCAAATCCTGCTTTGGAGCCATTCCCTGTGTCCTGTCCCTCTCCAGCTCTCCTGAAGTCCCTTCAGGCTCTGCCAGGGGCGCTGAGCTCTCCCCAAAACCTTGCCCAGGCTGAAGAATCCCAATTTTCCCATCCTGCCTTCAAATAAAGTCTTCATTCTTCTTCCCTGACATCTTTCCAACAAAAACATCTCGAGATTTCCTGTGCACCCTTCCCTCCCACAGCTCCCACCTGCCAAGAAATCCCTGAATCCTTCAAGGTGTTCGTTTAAAAAAAATAATATTTTCTAATAAACCTTCAGTGGTTTTCTAAAAGCCAATTTTCAAGTGATCCTCAGGTATTTAAATATGTCAGGAAGAGGCACCAAAGGTTTGAGACAGGGGAGAGAAGGTGGTAAAAACCCCCAGGAAAATTTAGGAAAGGATTTTCCTTTGAAGCCCAGAACTGCCTGGCACTGGGGGAGTTCTGAGGGGTGGGAGTTCCGAGGGGTGGGAGTTCCCTCTATAAAATGATTTATTTATTAAAAAAAAAAAACCCAAACATGAACCAGGAATCACACAGCTCTCGAAGTCTGCAGCTAAAAATCCACTCTGCCAAATGTTTTGTGGACTCTTCCCTTTTTATCTGCAGAATTCTTTTCTGATGGAGCTTTTATTAACCACAAATTAATTGTAAATATTGAAATACAGATTCCTGTGTAATCTTTGAGATCCTGGCTCAGGAGGAGGGAAAGCATTTCCAGCCTGACACTCACGTTTTACTCTTTAATTTCAGTTTCAATTCTGAATTCAGTCAAGGAGATTCAAATTACAAAAGCATTGAGGAATTAGGAGAGAAAAACAGAAGTGTCTAAGAAGTAAAAGATGATTGCATTTGATGTGGAAATAACAGGAAATTCACTTCTGGTTATTAATTATGGCAGCAGAAGAGGAACAAGTGACTGAGACTTGAAAAAAAACAAAAATAAAACTCACTTGGAGGCTGCTCCAGCGTGGAAACTTTGCCTTCAGTTCCCTGGGGCTCAGGCACCTGATGGCAAAAATATCAGATTACAAACCCCAGATCCATCTCCTTCATGGATTTAAACAAAACAAAAAAAAAAACCCCAAACCCCAGAGCACAAAAGAAATGAAAATGTGTTGTGTTATGTTCTTAATCACAAGGTAAAAATAAAAAATGTCATTAATCCAAGCCCTTTTCTAACAATTTCTATTATCTACAAATCTGCCAAACACAAATATTTTGCACAGAAATCTTCACCCTGAGGGAATCCAGATTTCCCCAGCTGCAGAGAGAGATTTTTCAGGAGGAAATCAAAGTTCATTCCTGAGCACTGGTTGGGTTTTCCCAGCCTGGTTTTCTCCAAACTCCTCAATTTCCATTTCCTGCCCCTGGTTTCGTTTTCCCAGGGCCACGTCACAGCCCAGGGCCCTCCCCCTGCTCTGCCCCAAAATTCACTTTATTTATCAGCTTCTCCTGCACCGAGCAGCTTTTGCAGACTGCAGTTCAGGGGCTGAGCTATAAAATATAAATATAAATATAAATATATATTGTAACTAAAATTAGAATTTATTATCTCGCAATAACAGCAGCAAAAGACAAGAAAAATGCCACAAGCACCTCTTAATTATTAAGAATAAGAAATAAAAAGAAGAAATAATTCTTGATAATCATGATTAACTTGTTAATTTTAAATTGCAAAAGTTAAAAATAAAAATTCAAAGTCAAAACGTAACAGTGGCCATCTCCTCCTCTGAACTCCCACTTCCTTAAAATCCCAATTTCTCTGGTGGGTTTGGGAGGAAATATCCCAAATTAATAATAATTATTATTAATAATAATTGTTATTTATTATTAACAACAACGTATTAATTTAAAATAGAGAAAGTTAAAAATAAAAAAAATTCAAAGGTAAAACATAACAGTGGCCCTCTCCTCCCCTGAACTCCCACTTCCTTAAAATCCCAATTTCTATGGTGGATTTGGGAGGAAATATCCCAAAATTAACAATAAATATTAATAAGTTTTAATAATTATTAGTAATAACATATTAATTTAAATTTTTGAAAAGTTGAAAAAAAATATAAAAATTAAAAGGAAAAAAACATAACAGTGGCCAACTCCTCCTCCTAACTCCCACCTCTTTAAAATCCCAATTTCTCTGGTGAGTTTGGAAGGAAATAGCCCAAATTAATAATAATCATTAATAATAACGTATTAATTTAAAATTTTAAAAAGTTAAAAACAAACAAAAAAAAATTAACTATTAAAAGTAAAAACATAACAGTGGCCATCTCCTCCTCCAAACTCCTACCTCCTTAAAATCCCAATTTCTCTGGTGGAAGAATTTCTCTGGGTTTGGAAGGAAATATCCCAAATTAATAATAATTATTTATAATAATGATTAATAACAATGCATGAATTTTAAATTGAAAAAGGTGAAAATAATAAAAATAAAAAATTAAAAGGAAAAACAGAACAGTGGCCATCTTCCCCTCCAACCAACCACCTCCCACCTCCTTAAAACCCCAATTTCTCTGGTGGGTTTGGGAGGAAATATCCCAGGAAAAGGCAGAAATGCTGGAAGAATTCCAGAATTCCAAGCTCAACATTCCAGCAGGAATTCCTGAATTCCAGGCACAAAATTTCTGCAGGAATTCCAGAATTCCAGGCACAGTATTCTAAAAGGAATTCCAGAATTCCAAGCACAACATCCCAGCAGAATTCCAGAATTCCAAGCACAAAATTTCAGCAGGAATTCCAGGCACAATATTCTAGAAGGAATTCCAGAATTCCAGGCACAAAATCTTAGCAGGAATTCGAGAATTGCAAGCTCAACATTCCAGATGGAATTCCAAAATTCCAGACACAACATCCCAGCAGGAATTCCAGAATTCCAAGCTCAACTTCCCAGCAGAAATTGCAGAATTCCAGACACAACATTCCAGCAGAAATTTCAGAATTCCAAGCTCAATTTCCAGCAGGAATTCCAGCCACAACATCCCAGCGGAATTCCAGAATTCCAAGCACAAAATTTCAGTAGGAATTCCAGGCTCAACATTCCAGCAGGAATTCCAGAATTCCAAGCACAACATTCCAGCAGGAATTGCAGAATTCCAAGCTCAATATTCCAGCAGAAATTCCAGGCACAACATCCCAGCAGGAATTCCAAAATTCCAGACACAATATTCCAGCAGGAATTCCAGAATTCCAAGATCAACATTCCAGCAGGAATTCCAGAATTCCAGGCACAAAATCTCAGCAGGAATTCGAGAATTGCAAGCTCAACATTCCAGATGGAATTCCAAAATTCCAGACACAACATCCCAGCAGAATTCCAGAATTCCAAGCACAAAATTCCAGCAGGAATTCCAGAATTCCAGGCTCAACATTCCAGCAGGAATTCCAGGCACAATATTCCAGCAGGAATTCCAGAATTCCAGGCTCAACATCCCAGCAGGAATTCCAGAATTCCAGACACAACATTCCAGCAGAAATTTCAGAATTCCAAGCTCAATTTCCAGCAGGAATTCCAGAATTCCAGGCACAACATTCTAAAAGGAATTCCAGAATTCCAAGCTCAATTTCCAGCAGGAATTCCAGGCTCAACATTCCAGCAGAATTCCAGAATTCCAGACACAATATTCCAGCAGGAATTGCAGAATTCCAGGTTCAACATCCCAGCAGAATTCCAGACACAAAATTTCAGCAGGAATTCCAGAATTCCAGGCACAAAATTCCAGCAGGAATTCCAGAATTCCAGGCTCAACATTCCAGCAGGAATTCCAGAATTCCAAGCACAAAATTCCAGCAGGAATTCCGGAATTCCAAGCTCAACATTCCAGCAGGAATTCCAGGCACAATATTCTAGAAGGAATTCCAGAATTCCAAGCTCAACATGCCAGCAGAATTCCAGAATCCCAGGCACAACATCCCAGCAGAATTCCAGAATTCCAGGCACAAAATCTCAGCAGGAATTCCAGAATTCCAGACACAACATTCCAGCAGGAATTCCAGAATTCCAAGCTCAACATTCCAGCAGAAATTCCAATCTCAACATCCCAGCAGGAATTCCAGAATTCCAATCTCAACATCCCAGCAGGAATTGCAGAATTGCAGAAATTCCAGAATTGCAGAAATTCCAGAATTGCAGAATTGCAGAAATTCCAGAATTCCAGAAATTCCAGAATTGCAGAAATTCCAGAATTGCAGAATTCCAGAAATTCCAGAAATCCAGAATTGCAGAAATTCCAGAATTGCAGAATTCCAGAATTAATTCCAGAATTCCAGAATTGCAGAAATTCCAGAATTGCAGCCGTACCTTGGCCGGGGCTTTGTGAGGTCCCTGGGGCTGTCTGGGCTCAGCCTGGCTCCTCTTCCTCCCTTTCTCTGCTCCTTTCTGCTCCTGGCACATCCTTGAAGGAGATTTTGAGGAAGTGCAATCCCTGGTGTGCAACAAAAAAAAAAAAAAAAGAGAATTCTTGTGTTTTTCTCCACATTTCACATGTATAGAACGTGAAAAAAAAACAGATTAATTCAGATTGATCTTGCCCCTCTTACAGCTGTGATTCTATAAATGTATTTAAAAGGTTCCATCAGTTTTTTTTACATTTTTTACAGCTTCAAACTGCACAGTCCAAACCTGTGCAAAGATTTCAACAGCAAAGGAAAAAAAAAAAATCACAATTTTTTCTACAAAAGAGACTGGAATTGAATGACTACATGTATATATTTTAAAATAATTAATAAAAAGCAATTAATTGTGAAAAATATCCTGGCCCTGCTGCCCACACTGCTTTGGATACTCAAGTTTATTTAGTTCTTTGAAATCCTCAGTACTCCTGATCAATTTATTACTTCCATTTTTATTTACTGACAGACAACAAAATTCCTGCAATACCCACATTATGCATCACTTAAACATGCTACTAAATATTGCTAACCTAAAAAAAAATAATTCATTAATACCAAATCAAACTTGCCAAACCCTTACTTTTTCTCGAGCAGAGGCTTCCTTGCCTTCTGTTTATGTTTAGTACCTA